TTGGTGCAGGACGTGATCTTCCATGCGTGTCGCAGCCTGGCCACTAGCTCGTCGAAGTAATGCAGCGCCTCGGCCCGAGGTTTGATGCGAGTGTAGCGCGGAAACGTCGGCGGTAACAAGCGCTGGTTGATCATCGGCTCGAACCCCATTGGGTTTGGTGAATCGGCTGCAACATTTTGAATTCATTATTTGATAAACATTATCTTAGGTTTACTGAAGAGTTCTTATGGCTTTAAAATGTTAAATGGTAGTCTGCATACTTCCAAAAACCAATTTCCATCTCATTTCTGGGTCTATTAACATAAATAATGGTGAAATTTTGATAAACCATAGTAGATGTATGAACTGGAACTTGTCCAATCACCTATTTACATTTTTACAAAAATCATTAACTACAACTAATGCATACAACTCACAATTCTCCACAGGTTGAGTTCCTTTCCCCGAGGTCTTGATAATGACTTTCATCATCTCAGAGCAGCCATTCAGAAGAGCAACACAATCTGCTCCAGACTGAGAGTCTCTCTTTGTGATCATGAGGAGAGCTCGGTAAAACATCCTAGTAAATCTAATACGGGCTTGAAGAGCTGCCCATAGGTTATCCTGAAAGAAAAATAAATCAAGAGCCTGTTTCATAATATATGATTAAGTGTTACAATCGAAATATGCAAGACATTGTAAAAAAAAGATTTCAAGACTTAACATAGTATGGTTACTATATAATTTACTCTAAATAAGGGCAATCTAAAATGATAATATACATACTAGTTTTGCTAGTCAACAGTTATTGCTAAGAAATTTTAAAAGAAAGCCTAATTCACTACTCTATTCTAAACTTAATCTAACTTTTTACCAAGTTTGTTTGGGACATAATCCAAATAAAACATGTCAGATTTACACAATTTTACATTAATGTACACCATAATACTGGTGCTGTATAGAACCTCGTGACAACTGCTACATGAGCCACAATATAAAATAAATTCTTTCACTCAGATCTGCATTTCTGCAAACCAAGCCATAAAAGCATAGATTCACCAACCTCATCATCACAACTCCTAGCCTTCTTGTTGAGTTCTTCCTCCTGTTCTCTTAGCATGAGTACACACTTCTGCTCGCTCACTTCGAGACGAGCGTCATACGTATTTCCTGACTGCGGGTTCGAGCCAAGACGATAACCATAGCCCATTGGTTGGAAGTCCTCCTCTTCAAATACCTGAGCCCTGAAAATTGAAATGAGAATTATTTTAAAATTCTTATTTATTGCAAACCATAAGTCAATGCTAATAAATGTACTTATCAAACGACACAAATAAAATTTGACTACATTTCAATATTCTGTAGGAAAAGTTCGCCTTACTTGTTAATACAATCTCTGATACAGTCCAGCAGTTTGTAGACAGCAATGCAATATGCTTTTAAGGTCTTGTTTACAATGGAGTGAGGTTGATGTAGGTAGAGGTTTGTGAATACAGTTTGTGCCAGCGAGTGCCCTTCCAGCCACGACACTATGCAAGCCATTGTAGCATCAATGATGCCTATCAGCTCAGGTGGCTCAAGATCATCTATCTTCAGTTTTCCAGCCTATGAAAGAAACAAATTCATATAAAATTATTTTATTTTTTGGCATTCATATACATATAGACAGTGTCAAATCAAAATAACTAGTAGAGTAAGAACCACATATGCATGTGAATATGTGGCTATAATTATGTAAGTGGGTATAATTATGTAATTATACATCCAGTTTTCAGTCCCATATAATCAGTTTCACATAGAAAAATAAAACATTTGCAATTTGGTTTAGTAACATCCAATACTTACAGCCACAGCTTGCTGAAAATTCAGTGGTTTTGGATTTCCACGGTTGCAGAGCATGCCTGCATCCATTTTAGGATCCATCATCTCGATGGCCGACATGGCCTCAAAGAGACCAAATAAGTGGCCATCGTGAAGCAACTCTCCGAGTTGAAGGTCTGTAAGAAACAATACCAAATTTTAGAAAAAGTATTTTAAGGAGACAATTCTTGATGCTGATGATTTTTTGAACAATATCTCAGCTTACATCACAATTTCTATTAATAAAGTACGCTAATCAGCTAGTACTAATGCTGAACGTTTTGACTGTCAGTACATAAACCACTGTTGTATGGTTCATGTACTGGCTAATGTGAAATTATTGTTTTGAGTTGGGAGATGAGTTATTTTAGTGATGACTGACTTTTGATTGTGATTTTTGATATGTGATTATGACTTTTATATATGAATGGTAATAATAAAAAATAATGTCATTGACAGATTGTCCTAAACCCAAACAACTATTTTATTAGCTGGGATGCAGAATAAAGTTCAGCCCTATTTTTGTTTAGGTACCGTCAACACAAAACTTGAACATTTAAAAAATGTAACAATTACCTTGGATATGTTTGAAGAAATCCGATGTTATGTCAACCCAGTTATAGATGACCTCAGGTGTCGCCCCCAAGGAATCCATTCTCCTAAGCAAAAAATTATAACAAATGTGTTTAGTGATATAGACTAGCTTAGGCACAAAAAGATTTACATGTAGTTGTAATATGTTTTTCAGCTATACCATTAGAATTGAAAAAAATTGGCAATTTCATAGATTTAAATTGATATTGTTTTATAGATTGAATAAGTTAATTGAGAATATCAACTGCAAAATATAAAAAAGAATGTAAATCCTTTTAAGTCAGTGACAAGATTTCAGTTATACAAGCAAGTGGTTACCCGTTATACAAATCACATAATTTTGTACACACACTATTTATAAATCTTTTTTCTATGCTCTGAACATTTTCATGTTTCTCGGTTCTCGATACTGAGTGAGTGGAAATCAATATTTAATCAAATATTCTTGTAGGTATTTTATTAAACACAATTAAAAACACGAGTAGTTAGAAGTTGTAATAATGGTACATCCCACTGAACAGCTAAGTACAATACAAACTATGTATACAGAAAATACAAGATAATTGCAAAATAATCCGCATAAAGCTGGGCGTAATGACCGCCGGTGTGTTAAAGTGGAAGCACATTGATGCATAAGAACTAGATACTAAGAACCAAAAGCCGGCGCTACACTACACTTACTACTCAACAAGACACGTATACAACAGACCATAACACAAACTGCCAGATTAATCAATAATATCTATAGGAGCTACATAAAATTGATACCATAACACTAGCTAACATGCAAACAGTACTAACCCGTCACCATCATAATAATCATCATTATCGCCCATTTAAAGTGCACTTCAGAATCTAAGGTAAAGGAAGACTAAATTACCATTAAATTTGGGGGAAGACTTGCTACATAAATAATTACAAATGCATAAAAATAAGTTAAATCCCTCAACTCTTTAATTTCCACACCTTCTTTCAAGGGCTTACTTTTTTTTCGAAATTCTATCAAATGTCAAAGTCATTTTCGTTGTCATAGTGCAGTACATTGATCGCATTTAGTCGATCTTATCGATTTTCATTTGATATTTCGTTAGTAAGTCGATAGATAAGTGGTAGAAAATTATTTGAATTAAAAATTACTACTGAAATAAACCAAATTGCAATTAAATAAAAATTCATCTCAAATTGTTGCTCGACACAATTATATCTTTTTTTAAATTTCGAGATAATGCATTATAATTATGAGTAAATCTTGGGTATAACAACTAAAACAAAAATATTTCCATTATATTTTTTTTTTGTAATGTTAATAACAATTATAATGGTAATTATCGATGGAAATAATTAACCTAACTTATATACCTAACATACTTTAAAAAAGGATGCAATTTCATTGTTATTACTTTTACTTCAATAGCTGAATGTACCTAATTAGGCATTATAAAATGTTATTGGCACTTCACGTCCAAATAAAAATTGAATAGTTGCAAAAGCAAATGTGAATCTACATTAAAAAACTGTAGATGTTTATATTCTGTAAGTACCTACCTACATTGAAAAAAAATAATAATAGGGGGTGTTACTAAATAGGCACCGAACCAAAAAATTTGATTATAAAACTTTTTAACTGTCTGTATGTTCACGTATCAAGCAAAAACTACCAATCTGATTACGATGAAACTTGGTATGATTATACACTATTATTCTGGGCACTTTTTATTGTTTTATTCCCGATTGTTCAAATTAGGTGAACCGCTATCATTGAGATTGTGTAGGTATACCTATGTTTGTTACTTGGTCACATTTTGTATGCCACGACGGTGGCAAGAAAAACACACGGCCCACTTGATTTGTGGTTACCACCTATAAACGCTTACAACCTTGCAAAACTTATGGCATTTTTTTTTAAGGGGGAAAATCATCGAATGACTGCTACCGTCTGGGTGAGGCGGGAGGGAGTGTCAGACTCTTACTGACTAAAAACCACCCCGTTCCTTCTCCTGCACGTCGAGCCGGAGCCCCGGTTACCCGTTAGGTTCTCCGCGACAACACTTAGGGCATTAGGTACATGCGCCTTGCCGGGGACCAAATTATATAACAGGGGACCGGGATGAAATTTGTAACAGAGGTAGATTAATGGTCTCGAGTAATCTTAAGCTACATTTTATATATGTAAATAGCTTGATTGGATTTTCTATTTGATCTATTTTCATTACTAATGCGTATTATCATCACTACTCTGTATATTCATGAAAATCTGTGTTTTCTTAGGATTTCATTATTTAAAGTAGTATTTTTGTTCATTGTTGATTAAGCATTTCACTACACGGTTGGCGCGGTGACTGGGTACCGGCTGCCACGCAACGTGTAGCGGGTCCGATTCCCGCACGGAACAACTCTTTTATGTTATATCCACAAATTGTTGTTTCGGGTCTGGGTGTCATGTATTTGTGAACTTGTAGGTATGTTTGTAAACGCACCTACGGCACATGAAAATATATACTAGTGTGGGACAATGTTTAAAAAAATATTACTTTGCATATAAATGTTATAGCTCTGATTCAATTAAAAAGCTGTTTTCTTTATAATAAATTAGATATATTTGACACTATTGTTAAAGACTGGATGCTGTGTAGATACACTGGCAGTTTCCGACACTGCGTCATAGACATCTCCATTGAGCTGAGGTGGTTCATTCGGTGCACCTCCACCAGTAATTTGATTGGTGTTTGGTTTTGTTAAACTGATGCCACCAAGGCCGAGGTCCATGCAGTCGAAATGAAGGATCTGAAAATTACAAACACAAATATTTGGTTATCATTGTTTTCAACGGAAATTGTTAGCTCGGAATAGCTCTCTTGTGAGCACTTTCGATTTTTGTAGCATTCAGCATTTCAGCGTATTAAAAGGGTTCTTCGAGGCAGAACCATCTGACTTGAAGAACACTGTGACAGGGATTTTTTTTTTTTGAGGGGGAAAATCATCCAATAACTTCTCCCACCCGGTGAGGCGAGAGCGAGTGTCAGACTCTTACTGAATACCACCCCGTTCCTACTCCTGCATTTCGAGCCGGAGCTCCGGCAACCCTTTAGCTCTTCTGCGGCTCCGTATCGGCATCAGCCCTATTGAGCCCCATTTGAGGTGGCTTGATGGCTTCTTGAAGCCTCGCGCGGATTGCGATGCGTCGTAACGTAAAATAAGACTAACTGTTATTTAATCGAGGTGGTTAACAACAGTCTTAACATATTAAATACTCGTTTTTCTTACCAAGACTGGAGCTTTGTCTACTCTGGTGTCCCAATCCATGCAGACATGCATCTTTGTGAAGTCGATAGTGATTTCGAACAGTCTGATGCACATGTCTAGAATAGTGATGGGCACGTACGGTATTGGGATCGGAATGCAGAATGGCGGCGGGTTGCTTGCTGTAAATAATAATTATTTAACATCAGAATTATTGAGGATTGTTTTTGATTTTAGAGTTTGTAGAGGAACAACTGCGATAGCGAATAATAATTTCTGATAAATTTATGGGAATTCGGTAAGTGTTCGAATATATTTTATTCTAAGATTTTTGTTCAGTCCGTAAGTAAGCAGGATTAACAGGGTTACCCCGTGAATTAGATATTCAGAAGATTGAAAGCATTTTCTTACCGGAATAAGATTTGTGGAAAATGCTCTCATTGTCCATTTTCACGTCCAAGTCCAAAAATCCTTCAGTAGGATCAAACGTCAGCTCGGCGCATGCTGAAAATGAATAATGACTATTATAGATCTACAAAGAAATATCTCATAAAGAATTAAATAGGCTTTGTTCTTGTTACAGACACCGTTGTAGGCTTAGGCACTGCAACGTCAGCAGCATTGAAACGTCTAAAGAGCAAGTAGGTACTTAAGAACTTGTGTGGGTGTTCCACCCAAGTCACATCATTCTTATGTTTCTAAATTTTGACCAGAAATATGGAGTACCTAAGTATCATTTAAAAAAAAAAATACTTTTTACGATGGGCTAAGCCTTTTCCACACGTGTTCACTCACTTTGTCTATCAAAGTGGAACGCTGGAATACGCATTCCAGAGCAGCAGGTGCACTTCAGCTCCTCACAAGTGCACTTTCCTCCTTTGAATGGCAGTCGGAGTCGCCAGCCAGGCTGGTACCATGGACGAGGCATCATCTTCCTTATTGTCTGGAAGATTAAGATAATATTACAATTTAGTCCTTTTGTTCCACAAATGCCACGTGATTTGATAGGTGTTTATTTTGACGGTGGTGCACTTCACCTAAAGAGGGTACGTTAGTAAGATAATTTTGACTGTGATAGTCATATTTAAGCGACTGCGCGATTAGTATCGTGGTTGGCAGGTTCGGTTCTCGCAAGGCAACACCACATGCACCTATTCCTTCATCTATATCTAATACATACTCAGGAGTTGTTTAGAATTTCATACCGGTAAAATAATAAAAAGTGCAACTCACTGTGTTAGAGTCTATGTCATAATAAATTGAGAAGTCAGTCACATCCATGGAATTGTCCTCTTTATTGTTAAAATGCTTCTGTATTCTAGAAGCTTCACCTGAAAGTGAAAAAGAAAGGCAATGCAGTTGTAAAACGTTTTCATTTAAAAACTTAAGTGTTTGTCACAAAATGTCCACTAACACACAATTTAGTCGAATTAATTACCGTAACGATTGATATATAATTTATGATCAACTTAACGATTAATCGGGAACTGCACGAATCGCATTCTTGGAATTAGCATGCGTAATTAATTACTTAGCACAAATTTACAAATCAATAAGCTCAATAAAAAATTTGTACATACCTGAGCCAAAATGTATGAAACACATAACAACAAACACAACAAACATTTTCGTTTTCATTTTAAATGAAGTTCGTTCAACTCCACAGCTCTAGGGACCAAATTCAAATGATCGGTTTCCGATACCCTATGTCGATACTTCCAAAGGTAACAAAGTATTTGTATGCAAGGTATGCGATGCTCGAGCGCAACTGACTTGCGGTACTTTCTCGAGAGAAACTCCTGCGCACCGGATCGATGCGATACCACCACTGTTCGGATAATGGCTATGTATTTTCACGTATATATTTTCACGCATGTCGTTAATGTGAAAATGAGTAATGATGCGCATGACAAGTACTGTTGTAAGCGCGTCTAATACCATGCGACTTATACAAGTAATGCTGACCTATGGACCGGCACCCATCACTCACTCGACAGCCGCTGAAACGACATTACATGCGGATACTTTCTTTATAACTATGTATAGGTAACTAGATATTCATATTATATTTTTAACATATTTTTATATTCTTTATTAGCTAGGAATTTTGCTTTTTATTCCAGCTTTATCATCATCACACATACCTAGCACTTAAATAGAATCTTAGCAATGATTGATATCTGAGAATTGCTATTATGATTTCTGTAGATATATATTTTAGGCTGTATTTTTGTGCATTTCTGGTCATCGTCGTTATCTGATTTATGCGTATATAAAACCGATAACTTATCTAATATGTATTTAGTATAAAAATCTTTACTTTCTTGACAATAGATGTCCATAGTTGTGTCATTTATCATGTTTTGTTACAGAAGGATTACCTATATCTTTGTTTGCAATTGCCCACAACTTACAAATATGCATTTTATTTACTTAAACTTTCTAACTCTTCCGTTCCCTCTTAGCAGCGGCACTGGTAGCTATATCAGTAGGACGAAGGTAGAAGGGAGAACCGTACGACCTATTATCCCTAAAGCAAACTAGGTGAGAGACTAGAGCGCCAGGATGAAGCCGCGAGTACCTAGTTGGGTACGCACGTCTTGTGGCAGTTATGGCAGGTGGCAGTTGCCCATAGAGTGCTGACAGGACCAAAAAATGAGGGCGCAATGAGGTATCCACCTCATGTGCAGATTAAGCCTATAGTTTAAACCTCAGAGTAGCTAATTACTTGTGATCCCATAAGTGTGGGAGAGCCATGCTTGCGCATGAATAGGCCGGCTCGACCGAAGTGGTATCACTTCACGGCCTCACAGAAGACCGACGTGAAACAACAATGTGTTGCCCAATTACCCCCCCTCCTCCCATCCCTTTCCCCAATCCCTGAATCCCCAACAATCCTCAAATTCCTAATTCTAAAAGGCGCCCTTGTAACGCCTCTGGTTTTCCAGGTGTCCATGGGCGACGCCGATTGCTTACCATCAGGTGTTCCGTCTGCTCGTTTCCCGGCTTATACCATAAAAAAAAATTATGTGCTGCAGTTGCAATCACAATATCAGAAGGATACAGTAGGTAGCATACGATGATGCCTACGAGTTAATAACTATCTATCTAATTGTGTAAATTCAGTACCTAGGTACACAGATACATTATTGCCCTTGTCCTAACCTAACCGATCATCCATAGTAACATAGAGGTATAGTTATTTTACCTCACAAGCGCGGGTGAGCCATAGTTGTAGTTGTAGTGCGTATAGACACGCGCGCTTGTGTGCGTAACTCGCAGCATTTATTGGCATGCCGGCCAAAACTGGGCGTTCCCGAGCGTACGCAAACAAAGACAATGTGCGTGTACATTTACCCACACAAGTATGGCGCACCCGCGCTCCTGAGATAAAACATCTATACTCGTATATAAGTACGTCATGTACTTTCACATACATTTGTAGGTACACTACCTATTGTATCTCCTTGTGTGCTTCTCCATAGATATTTCCGATCGCGACTATTCCAGTCTAGTCTACTGTATAGAAATAAGTCGAGTTTTCCTTCCGGTCGCTATAACTCCAGAACGCACTAACCGATTTCCAAGATTTTGCATTCGTTGGAAAGGTCTCGGGCTCCGTAGGGTTTATAGAGATTCTGAATAAAAAGTTTTCTTCATATTATAATCACCAAACGAAATGTTACATGAAACGAAGCCACCTGGTGACGAAACGGAGTTCGCCGGGTTTGCTAGTTTAGTATGAAATTACTATTCTAGTAGTTCATGTACTTAACCTACTGGAGCTAGTCAATAAACACCATTGACTCCTTTATCGCATCCACATGCTAAATAGTTTTGTAGGAGACTTGTAGCTTGAATACTAGAAACTGACTTAAATTCCGAGGTAAGCAAGCAAGGTGCATACCCGCACAGTTTATAATCGTCTTCGCACTAAACGACTGGAGAAGTATGTATATGCTTTGAAGAATTTTAATTTACGACGATTTGATTTTGCTATTACGTACTAGTTTTATGGTCTAATGCTAACGAAATTATAACACGCACGATTACCTAAGTGTCGATTTGAATGAATACCGTCGTTTTGAAAATATTATGCTTTTCCAATTTCAGACAACTCAGTTTAGAGACACCTATATTATTACGGATTCAAAAATTAGCTCATGGCAGACTTGCATCCTGTTTATTCATAATAAGTGACTTCTCCCGCCCGGGTGAGGCTAGAGGGAGTGTCAGACTCTTACTGGCTAAAAATCACCCTGTTCCTGCACTTCGAGCTGGAGCTCCGGTACCAGTTTACGTTCTCCGCGGCTCCGTAAATAATGCTACGGCAAGTAACGTTACAGTAAACTGTGATTGTCTCTACTACAGGGTGGTTTTTTTAACATCTACAAAAACCAGCCGTCTCTGACCCTTAAGATTATTTAATTTAATGATATAGGTAGAAAAATAAATTGAATTGCAAAAAATAAATAGTTTAATAAATTAAATCCGCCTTAAACATAGTTCAAATATTAAATAAGCTGCTTCGTAAATCATAGTTCATAGATATTTGTGTTATTCCTCGTATTCCTATCTTCGGTCGAAGAGGTTGAGTATGGACCTGACGACGTTTTCATCATAATCTTCGATGTCATCCTCCCCAGCGTCCACAACAGCATCCACTCCTCCTTGAGGGTTGGCTATTGGAATACCAACATCATCATACGGTTTGACCATTGCTATTCCGTTAGCTCCCATCCTGAGAATAAAGTAGAGGTGTTAGGAAGTATTAGTACTCTTAGGTATTTTTGTACTTGTTGCTTGAAAAAGTTATTGTAACCATAGAATTGCATTGTAACCTGATTGAGAAAGAGTAACCTATGGACTTTCTTACTCTTGCTCGTTCTTCTCCATAGGAATCTACACCTTGGAAAGAGCCACTAACTTCACTTTTAAGTTTTGTTGACGTTAAAAAGTCCCTTTCTGGTCTAATTTAAATAAATGATTTTGACTTTGACTTTGCATTATGTGTACATGTGTTACACTAGCTGATTCCTTATTGGACGAAAGGGTGAGAAATTCACGATTCAGCAACCGTTCAGCAACAAAAATCATATTATTTTTATTTTATTTAAGATTTTCATTTGTAAGTAAAATAAAAAAATATGTTTTTTGTAGTTCAGACATTGGTTTCGGCCTACTACTAACGTAAGGACACTGTAAGCTGTAGATAGACAGATATGTACATTTATTTGTAATAGGTATTGCTTGTCTTAAGATTGACGAGGAATTTGCCGTCGTAGATGAAAAGGTCTGTAGCTAAAAGATCTATAGTTAGGTTTATCTTGGTCTCAGTGAAAATTTTGTAGCTGAAAAGGGTTGTTTCCAAAAGTGACGCGATATATACGATAGGGTCTTTCGGCGTAATGTCCAAAGGTGAAACACCCTGTTTGAGAAACGGAAATAAATGAATCATCCTGTCGACGAACAGTCCAGTGGCTAATCGGTCTTAGAAGAACGGTTGCTGAATCGAAGTCCGAAGCACTAGCGCCATCTGGTGAGCAGAAAAACGGTAGCCCCCATTAAAGGGTAGGATTCATTAAATATTCATTATATATCCTTTCCGGATAAAAAAAAATATATAGCGGTTAATGTAACTTTGGGGTTGTACAATATTTACAAATGCCATTCAACATATTATACTGATATTCATTCAATCGATTTTTTTAGTAACAAGAAAAAATAAGAAACTTTAACTAGGTACTAAAAGAGGTCTTTGACCGACCATGTGGAAAATCGTTTACATTCAAGAGAATATACTTTTCATGATTAATTTAATTGAACTAGCAATAAACTGAGACTTATGACCATATAAAGTATTATTTATTGTTCATACCTATACAATAAAATGACATGCGATAATACAAGTTCATTGACAGAAATACATAAGATTTCATAGGAAAAATAAACAAGTACGGTTCCGTACATTTTTAACTTGTGTTATTTTTGAGTATTTATTTTTATGGGGGAAAATCATCGAATGACTGCACCCGCCTGGGTGAGGCGGGAGGGAGTGTCAGACTCTTACTGACTAGAAACCACCCCGATCCGTCTCCAGCACGTCGAGCCGGAGCCCCGGTAACCCGTTAGGTTCTCCGCGACATTTTTGGGTATTACGTGCATTTCCCAAGACCAATTTTTGTTAAGACTATATTAAATTGGATAACCTACTAATATTATGAATCTGCAAGTTTATGAAGATGTGTTTGTTACTCTTTCACGTCAAAACGGCTGAAGGGATCGGGATGAAATTTGGAACAGGGGTAGATTATGGTCTGGAATAACACATAGGCTGCATTTATCCCTCGGAAACGCGGGCGAAGCAGCTGGCAGAAGCTGGTAGGAAATAATCCATGAAAATGGAATGGTTAGAAACCCTGAGAGAACAGCAGCTGTAGCCAAATGCCATTTAGCGCTTGTCTACATGTAGAATAGAAAACCAAATTATATGGAATTGACGTAAATTTTGACACTTGTCAATGTCATTCCTATACATTTTGATTTCTATTCTCTCTGTAGACAAGCGCTAAAGTGGTGTTTGGCTAAAGAGCCAGTTTACCCTGGTCTACACTATGACAGCATTTCAAGAAATAAGACCTACAAATTTTAAATATTATATACTTCTTTTTTTAAAAAAAGCGTTGCTCCACATTTGGTTTTTCTCCTGTGTCGTGGGTGCGTTTACAAACATACAAGTGCACATCCACAATGAAACCCAGACACAAATTTGTGGATCACACAAAGTGTTGTTCCGTGCGGGAATCGAACCCGCGACACGTTGCACGGCAGCCGGTTGCCCAGCCACCGCACCAACCGTGCAGTCATAAAAGTTACTAGGATGTTTAATGAGGAAGAATGCTGCAGTAGAAAGTACCTCAATGTAAACAAACACTACAATTACGTAACATGTAGAAAGTAAGGCTTAATTCCTTTATTATGTAGGAAGCAATCACTCACCGGAGGCAGTCAAAAGCGAAATTGAAGAGTTCGAATGACCGCCAGTGTCCTGTCATTGCCAAACAGAAGTGAAAGTTCCGACCCGGGAAAAAAACGTTGTAAAACTTCGCGCAAACTTTCAAGTTGTTTATCCTTGGGGGACTGATGCATATTGGTCGTGGATTCTTTCCTAAAAAGTAGTTGGGAACATTTAGTTATAAATACTGCCATAAAGACAATTCTAGAACAAACTCTCGTTTTTATTATTTTCGGTTTATATTTTCTCTACAAAAGTTAAATGGCCCATGATCGAGTCATAAAATATTTTATAATGTATTTATTTACTGGACATTCACCTTAGCACTAGAAAAAATACTTAGCATAAGCACCATCATTATCGTTAAGATAAAATAAAAAACATTTTTGAAAGACTAAAAGGTGACTGTCCGCTGAAAGTATTTAGCATATTTGTATGATATATAAATGTTTGCGTACCTGACATTGAGTTTTCATAGAGCACCCTGTTGTTGAGTGACATGGCTACGTCGAACGCAAAGTCTCCCGGGTGATAAGTGACTCGCATACAAGCCTTCTGCTTCAGCAAATCCATGAAGTAACCAGTACAGCATTTACAAACACCTTTGTCACAAACACAACGCCTGTTGTTCGTAGAGGTTCCATTTTGACTGTCCTGGTTCTGTCTCGCCGTCGCCAACGCATTCGTAATCAAAGTCGAATTACTTCGTAATTGTTCTATGATCAACAGGAAATCATCAGGCACTTCCATTCCCTTTATATCTCCCACATTTGTTTTATTTACATTATCTCCTAGCTTTGCTGTAACAAATATAATTTCCAGTATTAAAACGGCACTCGTCAATGTTAATTATAGAGTATTTCATTGTCTCTTACCTCCTTGTATATTCTGTAGACAGAATACTGCGAATAAAAAAATCACTGCACACATTTTGTTTGGCTTTGAGACGCGAATCTCCGCGAGCGCGTATCGTCTGAACAAGCAAGGCACGATTCGATTCACATCCACGACAGTGAACCGGTTCAACAGGGGCAGAGAAAGATCTGTTTACTTCATTTTATAACTATCTACACTTTCACGTTAACGTCAGATTAATTCACCTTGCAAGAACGCAAATCAATAGAACGCTCAATTAAATTGAAATATTTTATTAACAACAATAAATAGACTTAATTAACTACATTATGAACAATAATTTGTACAACTGGTAAAAATAATGTTATGTAAATGTATAATCACAATGGGTTACGAGTCGCCTCCGAACAAGTCTCCGAATGCGTCGCCGAGGCCGTCAAAAGGACCGTCGTCGCTAGAGCCGCCGCCCCCGAATAAGCCATCACCTCCAAACACATCGCCAGCAGCGTTTTCTAAGAAGCTCCCACCATCATCATCATTATTGCTGTTGCCAAACAGACTGACTGGTTTAGGTCCTGATGAAACTGGTCGAGGCTTTAATCCAGTTTGAATCCCAGACGCTCCCATTCTATGAAATATTAAAAATATATTTGAAGCATAACATAAGCTTCGAATCAAGAAGGAAATAACGGAAGGCATATATTATGTGTACATGCTATTATTAACATGAATATAAGTGATCGTCAAAAAGCCGTAACACAATAAATCAGAAACTTGACAGTGTTTAACGTTGATGCTAATTACATGAAGAAAAACATTATTTTTTATTATGGATAATTGATCGTCATACACTCTAGTTTATGTTCGTCATTCTTTCCTACAAAAAATAACACGTTTTTCATGTAAAATTTTTCAAGGTGAGGTAGATAGATGTGTCAGTAATTGACGGCTTAATTTTATCATTACCTGAAACATCTGAAGGATGCAGAATAAACTGGGAAACCTCCAATATCCGCGTTGATGTCTAAGCATGCATGGGCATTCCTGTTCCTTATTTGAATGTTTGATATTTCAATGCAAATTCGAACAAATGGGGCTCTTCGAGGATTGAAGCATATAGGCGGCGGGTCACTGGCTGAAATAACTTTCTATTAGCACCTTTGTTTAACACAAGTGATTTAAAAATAGCTCATTTGTATTCCACACAAATTATGCAAACAAAAGAACACAAACTTTCTTATACTGAGGTTCTATTCATTCTCACCTGAAACTCTTCGTCGCACAACAGTGTTATTGTTGATAGTCATCCTCACGTCAAACACAAAGTCTTCTGGTACAAAGGTAATGTTTCCGCACGCTTTCATTCTGAATCTATCCATAATAGAGCCTGTACAACATCCACATTGTCTGTTTCGACACGTACAAGGGAACCTTGAGACTTGACCGGGAACCCCTTGCGCAGGTGCTTGAGTGACGACTTCATCTTGTACGACTGGATTTTGTGCCACTGGTGCTGCAGTGGTTGCTACTGGTACAGGGTCTTGTAACGCCTGAGTAGCATTATCAGCTTGAACAACAGTGTCAACTGCTGCTGGAACATCATTTTCTATTTCTTCCTCGATCTCATTGTCATCGTCTTCAAATTCCTCGTCATCTGCGTCCTGGACGTTTATGGGCACAGTTATAGTCACAGATGATTTAAGTACAGGAGTTGGTTGCAACGCTTGCTTCCAAATTGTGTGAGGTACTTTGAACTTTATCACTTTGTATGTCTTGTCACCTGAAATAAAGGAAATAAAAACATTTAGTATAATCAATTCCATAAAATGAGAATGCTAGGATGAAATAATGAAATCTCTTACCCGATCCTAAATGGTAAGTCGATAGCATGAATAATAAGAACAGTTTTATTGAAGGGCCCATTGTATGAAGGAGGTAGGAAAGTTGAACAGTTAAGCCTGGCTCCTCATTACGGATTGTAGACGTAACAAGTAACCGGGAGTATTTAACGGTCGACCACTAAACATTCAATGTTTATTTTAAGCTGCACAGTCAGTGATAGGAACAAGTTTTAAATTTTAATGTCAGTACGAGAGAAAGTTGAAATTTAAAACTATATTATGTTGCTTACTTTCAATATTGACGCGTGAAGCGAATATGTATTGGATCAATATGTTATCGAGTATTATTTAATGTTTATTGCGAGTTATTACGCAATGACTACGTGCATTATGCTGAATAATAAATTATTACTAATATGAAATATTTACAGCTTTCCATACCGCTTTGGGATTTAGAATAGGTAGATAAAAAAACCCCAACGTAAAATTATTTACGAACTTTTTCGTTTCATTCATGAATATGAATGACTGATGCATTGATTGTTTTTGAATATGTATTCAAATTACATCAGTTATTTGAATATGCATCAATAGTTGTTATGATTTCAATGCAATTTTTTACATAATAATTATAATTTTAGAGTTACATCGTCAAAGAGTTTCTTTTTTGTTTTTTCAAAAGGTTGCTGAAAAGGATCTCCTTTTCATACATTATGACCTCAAATACAAGACTACAACTCATAATATGTTATAACAATTCAATAGCAATACAGATTCAAAAATCTTAAGGAAATTTTTGATTTAAAAGAAACATCCTATTTAAAAAAAATATACCAATGTTAGGTGTAACAGTAAGTATGTCTTTAGATATTTATGGTGCCTTCAAAATTTCGATAGCAAATAATAGTATAATATAGTAGTAAGTATAATATTTCTTCATAATTTCGTATTTATACTGAATGATAAATGGCAATTACGTCTATTTCTATTATAGCGAAATAGTTATTCCTTATCAATATTGATTTAGATGTATTGTTTTTCTAAACAGTTAAATTCATAGATGACCAGATGAAATGACCAACACTGATCGTGCAAACATTAAATGGATACACCTCAATATTCCAAATTGAATGAGATGTCAAATAAATTAAGCAATTTGATTAATTAACTGTGCTCATATTAATGTCTGGTGTGTATTAGAGCCAATAAATAAACTTTACTCTAATAATCCATTAGTTATTATTTCATTAAGTAACCACTTTTACCTACATCATTTTCCTGTTTTTGTCTTTCTGATGCTTTTTTACTTATTCAGGGATAGAGAAACCTTTTGGGATAACAATGGATATAAATAAATGTGAAAATTAATATTGGAAATTATATTTACTCATTCATGCAAAATAAATAATCTCATACAATTTTTTTCTATTTACAACACACACAATAAAATAAGTTAAGTATAAAAATAAATAGTTTAAAGCTACTTAGAACTAGCCTGACTACGACGTCATACTTGTGACCACTCGCGCATCATTTTGTTTTGTCTTCTCCTGTCCTTCTTGTTTTTGTGGTTTTTGTTGCCGTCCTTCCTCATCATAAGTGCCATGTCACTTATTGTGTCAACAAATTCATCGTAATCGTTGCTTTGTTCTTTTTCTTTCTCACCCTGTACTTTCGTATCTGTGTTATCTCTGTTCTGTCTTTTATTTTTACCAAATATTCCTAGTTCATCACCCAAAGTTTCTCCAATTTGACTCAAATTAAGAACGTCTAAATCATGTAGGTTAAATTGTTTGTTCTTATTCTTCTTCTTTGGTAGACTTAGACCTTCATAGTAACTGTCTGGGACTGGAGAACCAAACTGATACGTCTGAGCTCTACTTTCGTCTCCAGATATTGGTTCCCTTTCAGCAGAGTCGAGACTTTGCACAATTTGTATCATATCTTCATTTACAGTTTCTTCGGAAGTTGGTATGAAGGATATGGTTGATGGTGTTTTTGGAGTAATGGTCAGTACTTTCTCGTAGTTATCTGATTCTTCTTTATCCATTACACTGGAAACTTTACCGTCATTTGAAATCATAGGTGTAACGGGCATCGCAGACAATTGTCCAGTAATGTGGGCTAACGACATCTCCAGTCCAGAATCTTCAAAGTCAGTGACGCTTTTAGGAGTAGTAGCAACTACTACAGCTGGTGTGGGGTTTTCAGCAATAGCAGATACTGGTGCCTGGGACTGCTCTAGAATAGTGGTCATTACAGGGATTCTTTCTGTTACTTGAGAAGTAGCAATTGAACTAGGTGTAGGGCTGACAGTGGTGGTAGTTGTCAGAATCGACGTAGAAGTACTTTCAGTAGTTGGCCTTCTAGTCGGCCTTCTGTTTGGTCTGCGAGTCGGACGTTTGTTTCCAGGGGTAGGTCTAGTTTTTACAGTAGTGGTGCGCCTTGGCCGTGGTGTTGTAGTTTTCGTACCAGGTCTTCTGGAAGGTCGTCGTGAGGGACGGGGGCGCCTGGTAGTAGTCGTCGTTGTGGTAGACGGGGCAGGTGCTTGTTTTTTCTTATTTTTGTTCGATTTTTTTCCACCTGTTGATCCAAACAGATCTCCCAGTATATCTTCTCCAAGAAGACTGAAACCTGTGTAATCCGCGCTGTCTACATCGTTGACGGCATCGAGTGTACCTGGAAAATTAGATGAGCAAATGTTAGCAAGTGGAAAAACTAGTCAAAATAATTACAAAAGACCTCTTAATACCAAATGAGCAACTTACCGTCATCATCGTCATCATCGTCGTCATCATCATCGTCATCATCTTCATCAGCGCCCAGCCCGAATGCATCATCATCTTCATAATCATCATCATCGTCGTCCTCAGCCTTTTCATCTTGAGGAACTAATGGTAGTGGATCAGCTGGTTCTGAGGTCACTCCTCTTGGGCCAAATTTGAAGCAGGACACGCGAACAGCAGCCTCCACTGTACTTTTCGATTGCAGCTCTAGGCCGAGGCAAGCTCTGAATTCTTCCCCAGCTCTAGCAATGTTGTAAACTCGTCCGCAAAATTTGGATAACCCACCCGGTAGCGGCATACAAACGGGGCTGGGTTTGCGACCTGTATGCATAAGAAAATATTAACTGTAACAATCATAATAAAACAAAAATAAACTAAATCAATATATAGAACAATAATAACAATATGACGATCATAAAAATGAGATTCAAATTAAAAGTGAAAATGAAACACTTACTGGACAGTGTCCGGTTTGTGATGACCTTCTTTCCAAAGCTCAAAGACACGGACATTTTGTCACCGTTGAGGTACATCAAGGAGGCACATCCTGGAAGTAAACAGATTACTTTAGTTATTATCTTTTAAGCTTTATTTCTTTGGCACTTTCTAAAGCAATTAATGTAAGAAGGCCAATGCTGGAGTATTCAATAGTCGGTCTTATTTCATCAGCTTCGTTTCTCTAGCTTAAGATCCGGTATGTTACGCAGTTACATAATTGAAGTGAGTCAGTTACATTCTATGGGATTTCCCATCAGGATTTTAATAAACCTTGGTTTACTTTTTTTACTCGTTACGTAATACAAAAATCCACTAAATATGCTGCAGTATAAGTAACTTCAGGTCAAAAAACAAAATGATTTTGTATTCAAACTGATTCTGTTCTAGGACTAAAAAGTATGGATGTGAAATTGGTTTCTGTCATAAATATTTATAGCTAGGCGCCAAGGCGACATCGCTTTCATTTTATGTTAAGTACTATTTTATGGAAAACAATATTCATTAGGAAATATTTGTAGATAACTGTAACGAACCAGGAAACAAACTTTTTTGTTCTATAATATTTTGTAGGATCGATATTTCGATGCTGAGGAGTTTGTTTATTTACTGACTTCAAAAAAAGAAGGATGTTCTCGGTGTGACCTGTATGTATCTTTGTGCACAATTATCTTGCGATTGGCTGAATCGATTTTGATGGGTTGGGTTTGAAATAATTTTTTTAAACGTAGTTTAAAAAATAATTATTTTAACACGTCAATCTTCGGAACTATTATAAGTTCTTATTTACTTTAACCGTTATTTTATATTGGATATACAATTTATTAAGGAAGGTTATAAAATATCACCCCACGAACTATACTAGCCGTACAGTAGAAGAAACTTTACGGGAGTACCTAGACTTTGATAGATGTATGAAATGTGTACCTGGTCCATTTAGTTCGACTACAGGCAGTCGGAACTCTCTGCAGCAGTTGCAGTAAGCCTCCACACATTTGCAGTACTTGTTGATGCTGTTCTCGTCAACCTTGTCGTCATCGTTCCTGTTCTGTATACCTTTCTTTACATTATTTTTCTCTTTTCCTGTAAATAACATACATTTTAGAATATCTTACTTCATTTAGATCTGTTGTATTAAGTGTAAAGGATAAATATTTGTTTAATTTGCTGCGTTATTATGTTGTTATATAAATCTAGCAGCTGCAGCCAAATTCCATTTAGCGCTTGTCTACTTGTAGAATAGAAATCCAAATTATATGGAATTGATGTAAATTTTGACACTTGTCAGTGTCATCCCCATACATTTTGATTTCTACTCTCTCTGTAGACAAGCGCTAAAGTTGCGTTTGGCTACAGGCACTGAACTAGCAATTAAGACATGTCTCTAACCCAAAAAGAGTAGGAGTAGGAACAGTGTGGTTATTATTCAATAAGAGTCTTGTATATCTCTCGCCTCATCCGTGCGAGAGAAGACATTCGATGATTTTACGCTCAAAAAAAGGTGACTCCACTGAAAGCCCCCAGAAGGATGCCTTCCAGGATTTTTGAAGAATTTTCATTCTCGGGAATAGGGTAGAGAAAATATATTTAACGTGTGATAATTTGTATCATATAATGGTTCCAAACTAACAACTTATAATTACTTAATGTTAGGAGGCTGCTATTTAAGTATTATTTACTATGTTATTAGCTCATTGCGTCATATGTCATAATGTCTATTGAGTGCAATTAATTAAAAACCTAACTGCAGTTTGATATATTAATTTCAGTAGTTTCGTTGAGTGTACACAAGATTAATGTAACGTGTTAACACTTTGAATAATTGCATAAAAACACAGAATAAATAATGGTTTGTGTTATAAAGGTTGATTAAAGATTGATTTATGAAAAATATTAAACATATCACTTAATACCGATCATGCAGCCGGTTTATACATATCTTGGTTGCAAAAAAAATTAAAGTCAACACGCTACGTGATGTTACATTGAAAGTAATTCAGAACAAAAAAATTGATGACCACCGGTCGATCGCTAACTTTCACAGTTTTTTCTATGTACGTTCAAATACATACATTGACAATAACAAAACGTTTGATAGGCTTTATTAATTCACCAATAATGTGTAATCAAGTTAGTGACTGGTCGTAATCAATCAATTCACTTTATTACTTCTGTAAGGAAGTGATTCTGACTGTTTATTAATTTGAACATGAGGTCTACTCACGCAGTTTATACTTACTGACACTCTTTGATGCGGCAAAAGCCAAGAGTATGAATATTAGAAGCAACTCGAAAACCAGGGAGAGCTTCATCTTGAAGACTGGCTCCCTGCCTGCAAATGTAAAGACAAATTATGATGTTATTTTAAAGATTTTTCTATGATAACTTGCAGAATCTTGTTTAAAGAATTCGTTTCAATTGAATTATACGATAGTTAAGACTAATTTTAATATTTTTCCTTAGGCAATAACATTTAATAATACTTCTGAAAACAAATACATATTATTTACTCGTCGTTTACTTTACTTATTTACAAAATATATCGCCAGTTACACATTTATTCTCAAAGAAATAATCATGAGTCGAGCTCGAGCGCGTTGATATCTTTTCTACTGCGCGTTGCACCGACTAGGTTTAAGTTATTTTGCGTGTTTATTCAGGGTGATCTTTATTTGTAACAATTTTTTATTGCACATTTGCTTAAAAATTAAAAAATATATTAAACACTTCTGCATTGAAGTACAATTTAAATGTAAAAATCCAATAAATTCTTACCTTCTCGTATAGAACTTCAGTAATAAATAAATATTATAAACACTGACGTATCCAACACCTTTGATCCACGTTTTAATAAATACAATATTATACGAGTTCACACAGTCTGGATGTAAAAACGCAGACGACACCGTAGTAACAGCGACACTGATTTGTTGTAAGCGTCGAGTAGCATCGGGAGAAATGTGCAGTGACGTATAACAGTGGGCGAGAAAGGAAAACTGCCCGTCGGACCTCTCGCTCTCTCGCGAAGGATGGGTGAAAGCAGAGACGCAGTTGGTCGGGTATGTAGAATTCAGTGTCAAGTAAAGTCGGCATTCAAAGTGTTGATTGTAGCGCTACTTCGTAAGGAAATGATAGGCAATTAATGTAAGCTTTTTTGGCCTGTGAAAATTGTTTGCTGGGTTAATTGACGGATGCAGCCGTTTTTGTTCGTATGTTTGCAAACAACACGTTTAACGTTTTTACTTCGATTAGCCGACTATAGTTTTGACTTTAGATTGATTTACTTTATATAAAGTGAAGCAATAAGTAGTATTAGAACTACAACAATGATTAGACTTCCACGAGTGGTAACATTAACGTCTTTAAGTATAGATTTGTCTGTATATAAATACAGATACTTAATTACTTAAGTATATACATGTATATAGGCAGAGAGGAAATTAAAAAACTACAGAATATAGTTTCTTAGATATGAGTTTCTCTCAGAACTTCCAGAAACATCTTATACAGTACGATGATCTCGGATATAGTGGTAGCGCTGTATATTGGCATAAGTAAACTTTTTCATATACTACTTTTTATCTTTGGTGTGCCTGTCACTTTTTTTGGATAAACAAATTACAAGTTGAGTACAGCGAATATGCATTATTTGAGTCGAATTTCATTATTTTTTGGACTGTTACATACGCAGATATAAAAAACACACACATATAAGTTGTTGTGTAAGTGTGTGTTAATTCCCCTTCACTCCTTATCCAACTTTAAATTACTTAGTAACGTTACAAATTATGATGGAAATATGAAAAAAATATTAAATGTGAATCATTAATAATTGTATTTCTTCGTGGGAATACGTATTTTGTATCTACTCATATGCTATTAAAATTATCTTTTGATTTTTCACTAGTATGAAAAAGTCCACAATGATAAATAATTCATAGATGTTAAAAACACAGATCCCATAATATAAAAATAATAGTTAATTATGAAGCAACAAAACGTCCCCAATCATACCTCTAAATATATCTTAAAAATAACAATAAAAATTACGACCACTCAAAAATAAAAATCGTAAGTACCTACCGCACGTGCCGTGCTTAACAATTCACAAAAGATTAGAAAAGAACTTAATTACAAATTCAGGACAAAAATGGAAAAAAATAAGTAACAAATACAACACGTAACCATAATGATCACACTCCTGCATATGTTTTGACATTTTTTAGAAGATATTTTTTTTGTCATAGAAGATTATAGGTACTTTGGCTAACCTGGCTGAATCAGATCTAAAACTTTACCCAGCTTGAGACTATCCATTATATGTAGTGCCACTAGCTTCTGCTAGTGGATTCACTCTTGTTCTCGTCGAATAAATAGTGGTATATATTGACATCGTCCAACATGCCGCCGCTGGAGTTGGAAGCCAACGCTCGTGGTGTCTGGCAGAGGGCGAGTTGGGCTCGAAGCGCAAATAACAACACCGATGCGAGCGCCAATGGCTGGCGCCTGTGAACTGCGCGACATCGCCGCTACCTCGCACGCTGCTCATGAGGAAGAACCCTTCTGTGGTTCGAAACTAGTAGAGCTTTTCTCAGTATATTCACGTGAGTATCCCACGATTTTAGTTAATTTGGTATATAATTATGTTATTTAAGACCATAATTCACCTCAGTTCCACATTACATCTCATTTCCTTCAGCCGTTTTGATGCGACAGAGTAACAAACATTCAAACATTCGTATTTACAATATTAGTAGGATTATCAGTCGACCAATGTGGCAATCACAGTATGTAACAAAAATACCCGATCATTTATTATTTAAAAAAATAATATATTATAACTTTCGTGAGACATACAACAGTTACGTGAGTAAACCGAAAACATAACAAAAAAAATGTTTAAAAGAAAAACAATCACAGCGTATCTGTCGGTATGTTAGTCTGTCTCAGTGGCCAATTTACTTTGCCCGCACTAAACCGGTCGGGTCGGCCACCATCGGCATTTGGTCCATAAGTGGTCACTTTCCCGCGGTGAAAGTGGACGGGTTCGAATTCTGACCACTCTTGTTGTTATTTTGTACGTACACACTATGTATACACAGAGGTTCTTGTTAGCAACCATATGTTGATGATTTTGTAACTTTAATATAATACATGTAGGTACAGTGTGTATTATTATGTGAGTTCATATTGGAAAGTGAGAGTTTTGTCATCGTTTTTCGAGGAAAAATTACCTAAACATTATGTTGTTTTGTTATGTTCTATGATTTGAATCAGTATTGAAACAGTTTAAGTTCTATTAATTATATATAGATTGTTACAATTTAACTACAACACGCAAAATTAATGGCTGTAATAAATCCATTATTTTATTAAGGAAACGCATGTTAGTAATTTTCAACATACTCATCCTTATTGTCTTTTCTAATTAAACTGTAGTTGTTGATTTCACATTAAAATATGAAAAATATAGTTTAAGATTAAATCAAGATATATCTTTTGAAATTATTGTTATTATAATTTGATGTATTTAACCACATACAGTTTAGAAAGCGTATGGGTATTAATAAAAGAATAAATAATCTGGTTTAAATATGCTGTAGGCAGGCATGTATATGAATATTCACGATTTATTAATGTTTCACAGTTTTATGTATGTACTTAGATATATATTTTATGTAGATATGTCGTCAATTTATTATTCACGCTTTGTTTTTCATAGTACTTTTTCTGCAAAATGTTTTATTGATTATTTTATAAAGAAGATGATGAGTAAAAAACGAAGTCGTATAAAAATCAATTTTTTGATTGAAGTCATAAATAAGAAAGTTTTCATAAATATGTCCATCATCCTTAAATACTTGAACATAAATTTGAATAACAAATTAATATGTATAAATAGATTTTAGTCTAGGACAGCACAAAGGTGTTTTTATACTTGGAAAAGGTAAGTTTTGTTCAAATAAATAATTAAATTATTAACTCAGTAAATTATAACTTCATTATTAATTTTCCAATGAACTAAATAAAATATGACTGAATTACTAAGACTCCAATGTCTGCCCATGTACATATCTGTTTGTCTACCTATATATACGAACGAATCACACTTGAATGATTTCTCATAATATCTGAACAAAGACACGGCCAATCGCTAGTATGGTATAATATATCTAATCATTTATTATTGCACATTCTGATCTGTTCATATAAAAAGTATTATCGTTTGTTGATATAAGATACAATAAATATAGTCATATATTAACATGATTAATGTGACGTAAGTATTTCTTCATTTCGTGAAATGCGTTTAGATTATTCCAGAATCCGTACCTACAAAGGTTTTCTTGGCGCGAAATAAAAGGTTCTTTCGAGAGTTCGGTTTTAAATAGTTACCACTTCGATCAACAATAGCAACTAGATAAAGGGTTACGTACAAAATCAAGCTCCAGTTCTGTCCGTGTGAATAATAATAGTAAAACGATAACAAACAGAGAAAAATGTTTTAAAATAGTTTTAAGTTCAACCTAATAACAACCATGGCACCTAATAATAAAGTCATAAATCGTCAAAATATTATCTAATACTTACGACCATTCGTCATATAAGACGAGAAAAACATTTTCTTACTCCTGTCATGTAAAAATTAAAAGACATAAGTTATTTAATATCTAGTTTGAATACAACCTTAAGCTAGAACAAATAAAGATATTTTTTCCGGTATTACCTTGCGATGTTATATCGTTTTGTTTTGTTTCGTTTTGGTTTTTCGAATTTCGAATTTCGCTACAGGAGGTATGTATGGAGTAGCGTTGAACACTAAAATAATTTTATAAATTATGAAAATTAATATTTCGGGATCTTAGTATACATCACTTATTTTTATTAGCGGTACGTTTTTGTGTACGATATGTTTATTTGCTTTATTATTAAAAGTTTAAGTCTCAATCAAAATCATTTATTTCAGTTAGACCACGAAGGCACTTTTGAACGTCAATAATATAAATTTAAAAGTGAACTATTTGCTCATTCCAAGGTGTAGATTCCTATGGAGAGGAACGAGCAAGAAACTCCATAGGTTAGGTACTCTTTTCCAATCAGGTTACAATACAATTTTATTTTACAATACAAATCGACTCCATGCATCCACTGTTCTGTTTAAACAAATGTTTGTGCGCGTGTTGGCGATGCTTGGCCAAGGGATCGCCAACATACGCACAAACATTGGTGGTGTTGTTTTATAATTGGTAATTTTGTCTAATTTGATATTATTTACTAGTTTAAAAGCTTAAAATATAACGTATACTTTATGGACATATCGTAAGTAAGACACTCCGGCCGTTTTGTGCTTTTTCGGTTATTATTTTTGCAAATTGCAATTACGCACTGCGGCATCGTAAGACGTGAGCACGTTGGCCGTGTTTGGAGCATACTAAACAAAATAAGAGCTCACTTCTCAAGTGAGCTCTTATTTGTCGAGACGATTTTCTTGCGCCGACCCGATATCTAGTTGTTATTGTTGATCGAAGAGTTACCAAGAAAATCTATGAATTTTGTACCTATCAAAAGAGTTCTTAATGTTTTTGCATAGTGCATGGAATAGCGTGCTCAATTAGCGGATTTAACTGATTTAACTTCAATGTATAAATTGACTTGACAATTCAAGCTGGTCTTGTATTAGGTATAAAAATGTCGAAAATTAAAATTACTTTTAAATAGGTACCTACTTACATAGTTATTTATGTTTTAACTTTCGTAAGACATACTAAACTAATTATTATGTTTTTCGACTTGCTCACGTAATTTAACGAAGAACTCGACTAGTTTCAAGCCATGCTAGAATCGCATCTCACGGAATGCTGCTCATGAATATGAGCATCTACTTACATAGAGACGAAAATAGTACTATTTTACTTAACACGTTAA